ATATTTAACATTCAAATGTGCAGAAAAAGTTTTGATAAATAAAACTACTTAAGCTCATGTGAATGAGCACAAAGGATATTCGTATGTTTATTTAAGAAGCAAACAGTAGTGCAAGTTTTGGAAAATATATTGAAATAACAACTGGAAAGTGATATATTTATTTTTATTATGATAATATATTTTATCTTTTTTAAGAACACTTCTCTAAATGCTACAAGTGGAAGAAATTGCATCCTTTGTTTGTACGTTTAACAGTGAAGAATAAATGAAGCTTAACAAAAATTTAAGATATAGGTGTCCTTAAGAGACAAAAAAAATTTTTGACAAGAAAGTGGTTCTAATACTTCAATTTGTCGTAAATTATTCAGTTAACTAAGCTATAGATACTGAAATATATAACATTAATTATTAAATTATTAATTAAAAAACATTGTAATTAACTTGTGTCTCCAAATAAAGCTGTAGTTTATAAGATCGTTCTAATTTAAAAAGCAACCTGGCTTGCTTTCGGTTAATGTCACTTACAAATAAAGTGACAAAAAACTTAGAACTTGAACATTATTAGTTTGTACAGCCTAGGCAGCTTGTCGGAAAACACGAATAGTCATGGTTTGTATTTTGACAGACACTAGTTCTAAGCCCTGAACTTGCAGTCCAAACAAATTATATACGGATTATAAACTAATTAAATAAAAATTCGAATACTTTTTTAAAATCACTGATGATGAGTACTTGGCGTTATATGGTCAGCTAAATTTCAATAAATTAACTAAAATTTATGTTGTTGTTCTTCATTACTGTTCGAACCCTTCTGTTTTATAAATAATTTCTTTCACTTCCAACAAAAAAAACTAACATTTAATTATTAAATGTTAGTTCATTGGCCCACTTATAAAATAAATTGGTCTAGTATTATGGACTTATTAACACTATGAAAATTTAATGAATTTTTGATTTGAACTATCTAAGTAATTTCTATTACAATAGTCATCCACTATATAATCATTTTGGTTCACAATAACACACATAAATCGTCTTTGCATACAGTAATATAGATCAATTCGTATATACGATGCAGCCACATTTGATTTTTAATATGTCAACGGTTCGAACTGTATTGCCAATGTTTTGTAAAAAGAATCGATTCTTGAAGTAGCATTGCTGAACTTTCAGAGACTCCAGCAGCTCAGTCTTTCTTTTCTTTCTGATAATATATTCAATCCTTAGCTCATTAAATTCCTGAACTGATTTTCTATATCAACTCATCGGCCCACGGCTTAATCGATTAGCAGACAATTTTTGTCTCTCCATTTAATTTTAGAGAAGTAACTTTTACTATGTACATAGTATAATCTACAGTGTGTTACGAGTACATAGGTTAATATATACAATACATATATATAATGTGTATATAATTAAAATCAATATATTTCAAAAAGATGCAATTATTAATTTAAAAAATTTGGTTATCCTTTAAAAGCTATTTAAGAAAGTATGTACAATATTGCCTTTCGCCTGCACTGTTCTTGTATAGACAATCCCTATTATGATAAAATTAAGGTTTGGATGCCAGATTAACTTACAGTATTTTGACGACAAATGCTTACAAAATCTCTATCTTAAAGTAAATCCATTCAAGCAACAAGAATGTTCCTCTTAAGGATTGGTTTAAAAATTGTGTAGCATTATGGTTCATTATTAATGTAGGTTGACTAAGTAAAAAATATAGCGCACAACAGCTTATTTATTGCCGATTGTAACTTTTGTACTTTATGTTTTGTTGTTAACAATTTTTAATTTTTTTCCTCGAAACTTTTTCATCTTTGCTGGTGTTGTGCTGTAGATCCTTAATCAGGACAGCCTTATCTGTTATGCACAGCATCGCTGTCAAATAAACGAATGAATGGACACTGAACGTCAGGACACGGCACAACACACGGCACAGGTAGCCACTGCTGAACTTACAGCAGAGAAAAAAAATCCCCAACAACAACAACAACATCAAGAACAAACACAACAACAAGAATTAGAAAAGTGAAATATACCTTACACGTTGTAATTTAAGGAAAAAGATTTCATCGAGGATGTTTACTTTTTGCAAGGTTTTTTTTCATTTCACATAGTCCTCGCATTTTTTTTTTGTGTTGTTTGTTATTTGAGGTACATTTTGTGCCTCGTGCTCTCATATCAAATGCAAACGTCATTGAATTGAAGAAAAAGAAAATAAAGGCAAAAATGTAGTTTAAACTAGAGAAGAAGAAGCACATCAAAACAGCAAGCACATCCTTGGCCGGCTTATGTACAGGATTCCGTGCTGTTAGTTTGTTTACTTATTTGTAGTTGCTGTAAAATTTCGTGTTGATTATATCGCTAGGATATGCATTGGCTTTTTTACAGCTCACTTATTCACTCACTCATGCACTCATGCACTTCCTCTTGGCTGAAGCACACACCAACAACCATCCACATTCAAATGACGCTGTGGAAGATAGCTCTGCATTTGCCATTTCCATTTATGCAGATTGAAGTGCAGAAGACATTTTAATAAATATTTAGTATCCTTTTTTGTAAGGAGCTAGTTTGATTCACTCATGTGAGAATATTATACGTTACACCTTGTAATTATTATTTCACTTTTATCCTGGAAAACATTTAATAAATAAAATATAACGTAAAAGAAATATTTGAACGCGTTTTAAATTTTTAATCTGTTTTTAAGAATTCTATTATTGTGGATGATTCAAAGACACAACTCCAAATTGAAGTTGAAAACTTGTTGCTTCATTTGAAATATTTACCTCATTGAAGGCAGTGATACTTTATGTTATACAGCCGTAAGAGAGAACTTAATAGGTATTATGAACATGAACATGGAAAGATCACAGCTATCTAAGAAATATTTTGTGCGTCCCACACAAATGAATACCCAATGAATACCCAGCCTTCCCTTTAAAGTAAACAGCTACTGCAATGTAGCTTACATGAGTAAGGTCGAAATAACAGCTCTTCTGACGGTATTCAATTCGATACCGCCATGCCATCCCATCGAATATCTGTCTTCAAGATCGGGATCGGGATATAGTCATTTGTTAAACAGTTACTTGTCGCACATGCGTCAATTTGCAATATGTGTCCCAGCTACAGTTATTTCCAAGCCCAATGAGGTCTCCCATCTGTGCATATGTCCCAATGCACATACTAACTTGAGTTCAGTTAGACTTTGGACCCACTCCATTAAAGTGGTGAAACTTTTCCGTTTTATCCCTGATTGAGTTTAGTTTAAAGCCTACATATTCTACCTACACTCCTAAACAATCCCCTCCACTTTTTCGTTATTACTTTTATGTAATATGCTTGATAGATGTGTGTGGACTACAACAACCTGAAAATGGGGATGGTAATAGCATAGCCGCCTTGCAAAGCTTTTTTACACCTTTGTCGGTGAATGTAAAAAAAAAATTAAAGCAAAGCCGTCTCAAAGCATTACTGTCAACGAGAATGAATACATGATTAACAGAAGTGGAATAACTCATCATATAACTAACATCTATTCATCTAATTGGTGTGATTAAAATCGGTCTCTGGATCAGCAACAAAAGGAAAGACTCATTGAAATCGCTTGGATGGAACTTTCTTCTGCACACGTTATACTTCCCAGGCATGGCGCATAATGGGGCATGTACTCATACAACTTTCGTTTTTAATTGAATTATTCCATTAACGAAATAAAAACGTGAATGAAGTTTTACAATAAAAGTCCATTTTTGTACATGAAGTTTCAATTTAGTGCCACATGTGAATCATAAAAATGCTATTTTGTAGCTGTTTTTTGAGAGCACAGTATATAAATTGTCAATGACAATAGAACTTATTTGAGATGTGCTTAATTAATGTAATTGTTTCACGATAGATAAACATATGTTCTGTGTCATTACTATAAGTTTGATAAAAATAAATGTTGAGTTTTACATAAAACTATGAATTAAGTTAGCAATTGTTTAATAATAAATTTCATCGATATTAAAACACAAGAACGCTTTAGGCATTTGCTTCAAATTTGACCATTTCAGAGTTCAAAGTCTGGCACTTGCTGACCAACAATTATATATAGACTTATGAAATTTACAAATATTTCCTTACATCACAGATGACGAGTGCTAAATTTTTTAGCAACTACAGTTCAGCATTTAATTAAACATTCTAAAAAGGATATGTTTCATAAGGAGCTAAAAAGAAAACGTTGACTAGGTGGATTGATAATTACCTGACTTTACAGCAGGCACGAATTGGTTTCTCACCAACCGTATTCTCCAGATTTGGCTCCAAAGATGGCTTAAGGGAAAGAGATTTGCAGCAAATGATGAAGTAGAATGGGATACTGAGGAAAAGTTTGGAAGATTATATAAATGGTATTATTTAAATGGCACCAAATGTTAAAAATCGTTGGACACGATGTGTCGAGCCAGATGGGAACTATTTTAAAGCATTTAATATAATTTTCCAAAAAAAATTGTGTTTTTATTACTTAGGCCGGATATTTATCAATCCAACTAATATATATTATGTATATATGTAATTTGCTTAGATGATTTAAAATTCGGCTAGACCTTGAAATCGAAATATCATAAATATAATTTAGATATATTAAATGTATTATCCTCAAGGAGTTGAAAAATCAGTTGTCAAAATAAATTTAGTTTTTAGAATAAAATCTACGAACTGTTCTCTTAAGAAACTCATTATATTCCATGCTCAAACTAAGACCGCGAAATCTGTTCAACTACTTCTCGATTCACAACTCTTATAACTTTCATATCATCCAAAGAACATAGGATCTCACATCAAAACGGGTTAAGTGGTTAATTTGACCTTAGTAACTACCTTAAAAAATTTCTAAATCTTTTCCATTGATTAAAATACTTTACTAATTAATTTAAAAAAATAAATAAAATAATTTGATCAACTTAAACTAGGATTTCGTACTGAATTATTGCACTTACTTTTTGATGTTCCGATATCGCTGCTGCTACTGTAGCTTTCAATGGAGGCACATATCTTTTCGTTGTCGATTCGCTGTTTACGTTATGTCTTCGATTCGATATTGCAGTCGTTGTGGGTCCCGATGTTCTAGAATGATTTAATGCATTTGTATGAGGACAACCTTGAATTGAATTTTGTTGAGTATTTGCAGAAAGCATAGGTGATGGCATAGGCGTGGCCATAGGAACGATATTTGGATATGCAAAAGGTATAAAATACATGGAATTGTTATTTTGTGCTGTGTTTCCAAACGTTGGATAAAATGTGGAATTCATTGTATTAGCAGTCATACCGCCTAAAACGATTTGCGGCTGGGTAGTTTGTGCCGGCGGCGGTACTGTGATTGCCGGAACAGCCATAAATGGTGTTGCTGCTGGTGTAGCAGTTGCCGTACAATGCGCTGACAGACAATTACCGCTATGATTACCCGTCAGAGCAGACATACAAGTCATTGATTGTTGTTGTTCTGGTTTCTGTTTGCACTCTGCACAAGGCGGTTTCGGGTTCAAATTGTTTTTATTTATAACATATGGTGCGGTGTTACTGCGTGCAGTTCCGGTACCAGTTGTCAGGTTTGGTGCTTTTAATCCATGCCAACATTTGCACGTGCATGACATTAATCCTATTGAATCCAGCCCCAAGGGGCCAGTCGAAATCTTTGTTGAATTGATGTTGTTAGCTACAATTGTAAATATAAACTTTAACCTATTACTTAAAGAAGCTTAGTATTTGGATATATATTGATAATTAAATTTAATATTATTGTATTTCAATTTGTGTTTGAAACAACAAATATGATATTCTATGCTAAACAATTTCAAAAGTAAACTGCAAATGCAATTATTTCAAAAGTCAATTGAAAGCAATTTTTGCATTGTTTATGGTGAAATGAAATTGTATGTAAATAGTTTTCTTTCCAGGCTCACTCGTTATGGTCCCTAGTTTTTACTGAAATGTTTTCAATCGAAAAGAAAATTTTTTCCTCTTCCTGTTTTGTTAGGAGACATGCCGAATGAATTGAACTTGCACTCACAGTGAAAAGTTTGGCAAGTACATGAAACCAATTTTTCAGTTGAATGCATTTTAATTTAAAGTGGATGCGATCCTTTTTCGACTTCATTCCTTGTTTAACGGTGAGGAGCCGTGAGACATAACAGCTACCATGCAATAGAAAACTCCTTACAAAACAATTGAAACAGTTCAAGCGAATTCGAACTTATTTCGATTTTATTTACTTTTCTTGAAACACTTTACAACACTGTTAAAATGTTAAAGGGCTTGAGATGGTACTACCACAAAAAAACAACTGAGGTATTATGTTTAGGAAACAATTTTACTATATTCAACAATATGATATCAATTTTACAATGTATTAAATATTATTTGTTGTGTTTTGTGAAGCATGGTAAACCTTGAAAACTTGACATAATTTTATTATATTTTTAAATAAATAAAGAAATTTTATTATTACCATAACAAATAATGGTGCACTGTAATATATGATATTTTTTAGATATAAAATATTTTTTAGATAAGGTTTAGATAAGGTTTTAGATAAGGTAGATAAGGTCCAGACTTTTTTAAGTTAACGAAAGCCAGATGAATGAAAGAGTCTCACTTCCTTATAATTACGAAACGATTCCACTGAAGGGCAGATGCATTTGTTGCACTCTGCATTATAAAAAATCTACAGATGTTGATTTCGAGTATCATTTTATCCTATCTTCAGCAGAGTTCACAGTGTTTAAATATGAATGCCTGCCGTTAAGAATTAGCACTACGTATTATTTTACGTATAATCAGTATAATGCAATAATAGAATAGAATTTCCAAAAGAATTTCCATGGAATTCCACCGGTGCCAATCACAGTTATATTTTAAGATGTAGTTTCGTTCTTTAAAGGGAACGAAGTCTATCTATCAAATCTACTATTCTTTAGTTCACAACACTCGATTGGAAAATGCAACTCTATAGTTTATAAAATAAACTAACATAATCATTCTACACACGTAACTTAGGTTTGCAAGGACTGTAGGTCCCAACCCCCGCGATACTAGACACACACCTCCAATCGGAAGCACTAACTCCTATTTGCACTACAAACAGTATCGTGTGATGTTCACTGAACTTGAATCAATTTCTCCGACTGGGATGCCTTACCCTGTATAAATATTCAAAGCAAAAACATGAAATTCTATATTTATTATTATTTCTTTATTTTTACCCATGGGTTTAATCTATTGTTTGTTTATTACCATACATTAAATAAATAGATAAAATAGATAAAATTAAGTTATCAACCATTTATTAATAATTAAGTTTAAATATATTTAGATTTTGAAATTTTCCAGTTCTTTATTCTGAAACCAGATAAACAAATCCAATAGCCAAAGATCTGAAATACTGGCTTACGATTTCGTAAATAGTAAAATTGATTTAAGTAATGTCAAGGAGTAGAGATGAAGCATAGAAAGGTTTAGGAACCAAAACTCACTTATAAACGTCTGTATACTATATCGTATTAAGATCGTGTGTCACATACCTAGTAGTTTAAACAACTATCACATATTAGCTGTTTTAAGTAAGAAGATTTCATATCTTCAGGTTAACTTATATTTAATGATCCACCCACATCTCCCTACAATAAAAGTGTGTGAATAAAATTTAAATCAATTGAGTTTGTCCGTACAACTAAAGTTAGCACTGATCAGGGGATAGAAAATGTTCCGAACGACCACTTTTCAGTCGTTATGTTTTATTTTTATTACTTTTGTTTTTATTTTCTTCAGGTCAAGTTATGCCCGCGGCTCGTTGATGCAGGGACTGCAGGTAATGATGTTTAGATTCTGATCTCGATAATATTTGAATAATTCTTATTCTTTCTAGGTTGTGCACAGAATTTTGTTGAGGGTGAGTTTACTTCTGGTGTCGTCCGCAATGGTGTTGGTGTTATGTTGTTTACTGACGGACTGACGTCAGATTTGTACACAAGTAAATGTATGGTTGAAATTACTTTGTAGCAATTTCAACCTTTACAAGTGATCTTATTGCAATGGAGCAGTAAAACTTGAATTTATTAAGAGTATTGCAAAAATTCAAATAAAAACAATTATTTATAAAATAGTTATCAGCCAGATCTGTGGGAAATTTTCATAAAGTGGCTCCAAAACGAATAAGTGTAGTCACTTCGGAAGAATGTTTGCAGAATAATGTTGTCTAATCCGAAAGAGTTTCTGCATCGACTTATATTAGTACAGTAGATATAGATACATTACTTAACTTCTGATAGGCAAAGTAGTCGAAATAGCAGACTTCTGTCGACAAAAGATGAAGTCAGTTCCATCATAAGGAAATTTATAGGTTTCTACAAATTTTCAGAATTACAATTGACCACCTCGTGAAGACAAAACAATAATTGGGAAATTTTATGCGATTCTTAAAGGTGTGTTAAAATTAAGAAGAGAAAAAAAGTGGATCCGGAAAAGAAGAAATATTGTTTCCCCACTAGATCATAACACTTTCATTATCAGCAGCACATCCATTATGATTGCCACATTCGGTGTCATATGATACTTATTTATATTGAAAAACATGGTTTGCTTGGATGCATTTCAATCAAATTCGGACATAACATTCAGCAACTTACTTTGATTACTTTAAAAATCTCGAAGAATCCTATTTTTCACTAGTTAAAAAAATTGGAACACTATTGCATCAAGTGTTTAGAACTCAAAGC